CACAGGTATGTTGCTTTGTAAAGTAGTGCATCCACAGTGGGTATTCAAGATAGAGCATTGTTTTGTAGGTAAGATGACATTTAATGTCTTTTAAGCCATCCAATTCCCTTTATAAAGAGATTATTCCAAAGAAACCCACACGGAATAAGCCTTGCCCATCTCCAGGTCTGTTTTCACTTGCACAGAAACTGCTTGTGACTCTCTTACCCACAGTGTAACAGATTCCCTCCTAGTGAAAGTTATAAATTTACTCTATAGTAAGCAAATTTGTTCATAAAATGGAAAATAATGAAATTAGGAGCAAGAAAACCTGGCTGCCAATTCTGTTATCCTGGGTGAGATAATCCTTAGTTTCCATGTGTGTAAGAAATGAACAATACAAACAACCAGCCTTCGCATGATGGAGAGAATATAATAACTAACATGCCAGATCTACAGTGATAATAATTACAAGGTCCAGGAGATGCCAGAAGTGTTCTCACTGGTCTTTTATTTGATAGTTAATAATGATTCGTTTCAAGTTTTCAGAACTCACAACAGCTACATAGATACAAAAATTGTCAAAGTTTATGGCCTTACAACAGACAATTTAAAAGACAGGATCGACGTCTCTTAAGTAGTCTGTGTGGCAAGGAAAAGAGATCCAATGTTTCCAGAACTCTACTCCACACAAAAAAATTACAGAGCTATGAAAAGGGAGATGATGACTTATTAGCAGCCCTGCTGAGTCATTAAGGAGTCCCTAAATTCTCAAATCTTTCTGTTTTCCCTAAGTTTTAGAGTAGCTTCCTCCACAGGGGCAACAGGTGTCCCCCAGTCCTGAGCCCTGCAGCTGTCCAGGTGACATTGTTTTTATAAGTGAGCGGACGCTGCTCTAGCCAATGCTTCTGTGTAACTGGAGGCCCTGCATATGCCGAGTGACTGAAAATGGTCATGAAAGTCACCAGGTGAGAAGAAGGGCAGAAACATCTCCTGTTCTGTTTGTAGCCCCCTTAACATACACCACAGGCCCTCGAGAAGACAGCCAGAGCATCAGCAGTCACTCTCACAACATGCTTATTTCAGGGCTCTGGGGCCCATCATCTGAGTCACTCTTTTATTTCCAGAATTGAAATGATAAGCTTCAAGGTTCAATGAGGTTTAACAGGAAAGCATTACATTGTCTATATGCTTTCTATATGCTTGTCTATATGCATTGTCTATGTGCTGAACTTGAGGTGTAAATACAGGATTTCTACCAACCAGAATCTGGTGGAGAGAGGATTTCTACCCCTCAGAATCTGATGGAATCGTGTGTGCACACACATAGTGGGACAGCTCTGGAAGTTAAGGCCAGTGTGGGAGCTGGTGAGGACCCAGGCAAAAGGTGCTGGGGTGGAGGGAGGCAGATATACGTTATAATTATGCCATGTACATAATCGCACTCAACCATAGTTAACAGGGCTACTTGAGGGGAAGTAAAATAAGACACGTGAAAGCAGTGAGCCTCTGAGTGGGCCATGTCGGGGCAAGGAGTGGGGTGTGTCCTTGGACCAGGACTTGACTCCTCTTCTTGGTGTTCACAACGGCTGCCAGCCCCTGAAGGTAGCCTCTGAAGATCCAGGAGTCACTCCTGGTGTGCACAGTCTTCACCCCTCAGCTACCCTGAGCGCCGCCACCTGTCTGCCAGGTGAGAACAGAGAGGTCTGGGGTGGGATTGCCAGCTATGGAAACACAGGAATGTGCTGAGAAAGGGTGCTGAGGGCAGAGGGCAGAGGGCAGAGCAACCAGTGCCGGGCGTGACCAGGGAAAGAATGTTGCCCCTCAGATTAGTTTCTACCAGGGCATTTAGTTTTAGAAGACAAAATGTTCAGAGTACACAGATGCTTCCAGTTGAGAGAGAAAAAAAAATTAGAGAGAATGGGCAGGTGCAGAGGGAGCCACCCAAATCAAGGACACCGTGCAGGAAGCCCAGGATGTGGGCCAGGGTGGATATGCCTAGAGTCACAGTGGCAGAGAGGTCACATTTGGTCTTCACCCTTTTCTTCTTCATGGCTAGTACAGGGGCTGGCACCTTCTGGGTGGTTGTTGAGGGAAAAACTATAGGAGTGCAGTCTAGCAGTTAGCCCTCTCTGAGTCTCAGCTCTCGGGGGTGGGAGTTGGTGTGGAGAGGAACTGGGAGAGTCAATGCCCAACTCCAATCCTCACGCTTCCCCATGGTCAGCATCTATTCCTCCGTCTTCCAAATCCGACTGGAAACATCCACATCTCCTTGACTTGGATTCCACTCGATTGGTGGAACCACTCCATTGGTTCTACTCAATCTCTTGGCCTCCTTGCTGAGAGCCTGAATGCCCAGGGGCTTCTCTCCTAGTCTGCCTGGCCCCTTTCCAAGGTTCTCAGCAGTGGCTGAGTCAAGATTAAAACTCGCCTCTGCTAACCCAGACATCTCTGATTTTTCCTTTGGGCCCCATCATCTTCCTGGAGCAGGAACAAGGGCGCATTTGAGCTACGGTCATCCTGACTGCAGCAGAAAATGTGGCTGTACACACCCAGACTACTGTTCCCCCTTCTTGTCTCCTCAAAGCCCAAGCCCAAGACCACCTCTGAATATATCAGCTAAATCCCAGTGAGGTGGAGGCCATGGGCTGCCCTGGAGAGTCCCCGGGTGTTTTGTCCTGCCGTAGCCCCAGGGTGGGCTCAGCATTCCCACCGCTGATGACTTCATCTCACCACCTCTCCTAGTGAGATGGCTGGAATGCTGGCAGGTGGGAGCTGATTTTAACATATTCTTACCCCTCCTTGGTGTTCTCTCCACCACCCCCTTGAAATAGTAGAGCTCTGTGTGTTTAGTGGTTTATAGTCTTTGTTTTAAGTTTGTGTTGTTTCTGCTGTTCACCTTCAAAGGAGAATTGACAAGCTGGACCTCACGGAGGATCAACAGCCCCCAGGAGATATTCTTTTTTTTTTTTTTAATTTTAATTTTGGAAGCACAGGCTCCAACTGGGGCACATCAGTGTAAATGGCCCTGAGCCCTTGGCAGGCCACAGCGGGCAGAGCCTGCCCCCTGCTCTGTGCATGTAGGTGCTCCAGGATGGAATAGAGCCTACCCTACACTTCACCAGTGCCTGGGTCACCCCCGACTCATCACTGAGTTACTTTGAATTAACTGCTGACCAGGCACTGGGCCCAGGGTTTAGTTTGCTTCCTCAGGGTCAGCCCACCCAGGGAAATGTTCCTTGCCCAACCATGGGCTCCTGTGTTGGGAGGAGCTGGGTTGAGAGCCAGTGGGTTCACCGTGTGGGCCAGGTGCAGAGCAGGGTGAAGCTGTGTTGAGGGTGCTCTGTGCTCTGAGGCCGGCTGACTCAGCAGCAGGGGACGCTGGCTGGACTGAACACAGGGAGGGTGGACTACCCCTGCAGTGCCACACAGGAGACTGTTTCAGACTCTGGAATAGTTGATCAGCATCTGGGCATGGGTTCTGGAACTCTTTACCTTGCTTACCACCCTCATAAGACCATGTGACTCTTTCCCCACGTACCCGGAGGGCACCTTAGAGGAGGCTGGGAATAAGAGAGGTGGGTCAGTCGCCCTCAGCAGGCTGGGCATGCTCTGGAGGGAGGCTGGCACTGTGGGGTGGAAGACACAGGCACATTCAGACTGCAGAAGCAGAGTTTCACTTCCAGGCCCTCTACACTTCATATTGTACCCATGTATTTTATGTTTGTCTTCCCTAACATTTTGAGAGAACAGGAAAGGACAAACTCAATGCCAGTTATTGGAAACTTTCTAGAAGCCTCTTTTGGCTGATTCCCATTGGTGTCCTGTCTTCCCCATGCTTCCCGGTGGAGGAGGAGATAGTCCACGCTCTGAGCAGGTGGTCAGCATCCTTGTGAAGTGTCTCACCTAGTCACTTTCTCTGCTCTGTCTGGCTGGAGTCTAGCATTCCTGGGGCTGGGCAAGGGTGGCAGGGAGGAAGGGATGGGAGTAAGCTGGGGAGGCCCCTTGGAGCTGGTTTGGACCTTTTTACCCAGCACTGATGCAGGTCCTGCACAGGGGATGGTTAACAAAAAGTGCAGCTGCCCTGAAGTACTGTTACTTTCCCTGTCTGAATTACTGTTACTTGCCCCGTCTGAAGTACTATTACCTTCCCCATTTGAAGTAGTTACTTTCCCCATTTGAAGTACTGTTACTTTCCCTGTCTGAAGTACTGTTACTTTCCCCATCATCTGAAGTTCTGTTGCTTTCCCTGTCTGAAGTACTGTTACTTTCCCTATCATCTGAAGTACTGTTACTTTCCCCATCAGAAGTACTATTGCCTTTTTCATCTGAAGTACTGTTACTTTCTTCATCTGAAGTACTGTTGATTTCCCCATCTGAAGTACTGTTATTTTCCCCATCTGAAGTACTGTTACTTTCCTCATCCGAAATAGTGTTACTTTCCCCATCTGAAGTACTGTTACTCTCCCCGTCTGACTTGTCCTTTGGGTGTGTTCCTCTCTCAGAGTAGCCTCACGGGATGGTGGCTGTGATTTGGGCAGGGTCTGTGTGTTCCTGGCTGTATCCAATAGATTAAATTGCACCTCCACTTCTAAAGCCAGGTCTGCCATCCCCTCCCCACCTGCTGGCGTGTGCAGCAGCTTCTCCTGGCTGCACAGAACTCAGCGCTCAGGCCCTGGAGCTGGGGCTCTGTCTCCTGGCCTGTGACCTGGGGCAGGCCACTTACACCTTGCCTGATTCAGTTTCCCTTATCTTAACTGTTAGCTATTATTATTATTTTGGTGATAGGGAGAAGTAACAGGTGAAGAAGCCAAATAACTAGAAAGGATTGTGGTGTAAAACCTACATTATAACCAAGGGAGGGGCCTGCAGGTCACGTGGTAGTTGGCATGGTGGTTACTTAGTCTCTGAGGTCATTAAGTGGCCTGTGGTCAGAGGCAGGTGCGACGTGAGAAATTCAGAGAATCATGAGGGGGTGGGGCAGACTTAGAAAAGGGAGAATCTGCTGCCAGAGAGGCCAGATGCTGTGAGTCCGAAGGAATCATCCCGTTCCCAGCAGACAAGCCTGGAGCCAGCCTGCTCTTCTGGCCAAAGCATTCCACCCCCTGGACCTCTTCTCCAGGCACTTTCTGCCCAGATAGGCAGTGGCCCCAGAGTCTGGGAAACCTGCCCCACAGGCAAGGGCAAGGGGTGTGTCTGAAGCGGGTGAGAGGCTGGTATGAGCCTTGGTTGCTGCTCTGGAAACAGGAAGAAGAGATGTGGATTCTGACCCTTGGCTCCCCAAAGTTCCACAGGTATATGCAGTTTATCTGTCTCATTGATTATTAAGTTCTGTGGGAGAACGGCTCTGTCAACATAGTCCTAGAGACATCTGTTGATGCCTTAGTGTTCCCTGTGGTCAAGGTGCCTGCAGTCAAGCCGAGGAGACTCATGCGGAAAATCACAACTGCATTATCTTAGTGCCCAAAATAGAAGTGGGCATTTTGACATCGCAGTGGCAAAAGGAGGACATGGTCAACTACAGGTGGCTAGTTTAGTTTATTAATAGCAAAATATTAAAAGCTATTTTAAAAATTATATTTGCCTCCCAGTGGAGGGTCTTGGGTAGTTGGGCAACCCGGTGCTAAAGATAGGACTGGGCCTTTCATCATAAACCTTTTATACATTTGTGTTTTTTTGACATTTAAAAATCAGAATATTTTCAACTTAAAAAAAACGTAATAAGCTCCCATAATACTTAAGAACTGGGACAGTCCACATCAGGAATACATGATTTGCAATGCCAAGAAAGATGTGCTGAATTTATTGGGCAAACTAAAGAGAAAATAAAATTTCTCTGAGTATTTTAAAAAAACCCCAGGAATGAGTGCTATGCATGCCACACACTAGTATGCCAGATAAAACAAATGTGGAGTCAGAAACTGAATGATGTGCCTCTTGACCTTTGATTAGACTTCTTGTGCTTTTGATTTTGTCATATGCATATATTACTTATTTAAGAATTATTTATGTAATTATAAAAGTGGATGAGGAAATGATGTAAAAACAGCTACTCCTTGTGGAAGACTGGTCTTTGTGCTAAGTGCTGTGTGCTCCACCTCATTCCTAGAGCAGGGAGCATTTGCAGAGGCTTGGGAGAGAGTGGACGCGTCCCTGATGTTAAGGGCAGAGGAGGAGAAGGGCCCTCGGGCAACTGGAAGGGCATCCTGAAGAGACGCCTGCCTGCCGCCGTTTTCTTGGCAGCAGGGAGCGCTGGGAAGCACCTGGCAGGAAGTGAAGAATTTCCGATTGTCAGCGGAGGCGTGGGGCGTCACCGAGTCTGAGGCAAGCACACCAAGAACCAGCTAAGTCCAAGGCTCACCTGCATGGCAAATGGTGAAGGCAAAGTCCAACTGCCAGCCCAAAGTAGAGTGCTTTTAAAGCAAGCTGCTCTCAAATCATTTCCAAATCCAAAGTTGGTGTAGCTGCAGTCAGGGAAGTTCAACAGGAAGTGGGCCAGGGGTAAGACAGAAGCATATCTTTACCTGGTTCTCCATCTGGGAGATGAGCACCCCAAGGGAGAAGGACCAGGTGCCTCAGTAAGGACTGGTGCTCAGTGTGTCGGGGTGTGGGGGGTGTGGGGTCTGGGTGGGTGGTGGTGAGGAAGCAGGCAGGGCCAGATACAGAAATTTGAATTGTTCCTTTTGTTGCAGACAATAGGAGCATAATAAATTTTTCAGCAGGGGAACCATGTGATCACATTTCTGCTTTAGAAACAAAGGGAAGAGCTCCAAATCCTGGAATAATGATATCTGAGCTGGAAGCCCTCATTGAGTTCCGACCCTCTCCTTGTGTAGCAAGCAACTTGCCAACATCATCAAACCCTTCATTTAAACGCAGAAGAAAAACAAAACAAAGCAAAACAATGCAACCCCCAAACCCTTCCTGTCATTGACCCTGGGTCACCGTCCTATTTCTAACAGGCACATTTTAATTACTGGCAACTCATTTTCTTGATTGGATCTCTACAGCAGGCTGGAGTCTTTATTCTTGAAGATGCCCTCCGGATCTGTACTCTGGTGTCCTACTTTTTTCTTTGCTTCTTAAACTGGACCAACCCAAGGCAAAATTGTGATGTTGGTAGCACTTATTTTTTACTTCCTTACACATATTACAAGAACACCTGAATTCAATCTGAATTAAATTGTATACGTTATTTACTTTATTTAGTTATACAATAAAGTTTGGTAAAAACAAATTGTAAAAATGCGTACACAGGATGAAAGACTTAGGGTTACATATGACAGGTCTCATCTCTTAAATTAAAATACTCTCCCCCAAAAGACCCAGAGAGGTTACATGAGCCTAAACAACTAGCTTGTAGCAGAGTTAAGACTAGAACACCTAGTTCCCAGTGTTCTTTCTGTTCTACTGTGTATACTGACCTATTTTTCATTACATCTTTATTTTGATATTTATTAGAGAGTATTTCTTCAGCTATTGCTGCCTAGAAAACTATGCAGAAACTTAGCGGTTTAATAAGAATTTATTATCTCCCATTGTTCTATGGTTGACTGGGTGGTTACAGTCATATGTTGGCTGGTGCTGTATTCATCTGAAGGCTCAGCTGGCCTAGGCACCCTGGATGACTTGCTTGCCTGGCTGCAGGTTGATGCTGGAACTCATGCATAGACTTAGACATAGACTCTTCATGTGGCATGGATACCTCACAGCATGGCAACTGGATTCCAATAATGAGACTGCCAAGAGACCCATGCAGAAGCTGCAAGGCTTCTTATGACCTGGCCTCAGAAGTCCAGTAGTTCCCTTCCACCACATTCTATTGGCCATGCAAATCCCCAGGACCAGCCCAGATTCAAGGGGAAGGACATCAGAGCCCACTTCTCAACGGGAGACATGACAAAGGAGGCCATCTTTAATATACTACAAGGAAAGTGGAGAGAGTAGGAAAAGCAGAGGCTGTACTGAACAGGTACATTTGAGAATCATTGCAGTAAGAGTTTAGGGCAACATAGAATGCATTAAATTAAGTCAGCAGAAAGCTGGATGGCATACTTTTAGGCACTAGGTAGACAGGAATCAGTAGGACACCTTCTCTGTCTTTCAGCACTCGTGTTCTATTAGGACACAGACATTAAGTAGACAGTCATTCAGATTTTAAGTTTTAAAACAGAAGTTCCTATTAGTTCATGAATCCATCCATCCATCCATCCACCCATCTATCCATTCACCAACCCATTCATCTATCCACCTGTCTATTTATCCACCCATCCATTCATTCATCTATCCATACATTAATTTTTTATTTATTTATTGAGATCCTGGGGCTAAGGTCTTAGATCTTTGAGCTTACATTCCAATGGGGGGACAGATAGACCCATTGCAGGCAGTGATATGAAGAAAATAAGATGAGGAGGGGCAGTAAAGGGTGGGGTGGGAAGGGAGCTGCATTCCAGTTAGGGTGATGGGGGAAGTTGTCTCAGAGGACAGGAGAGATAGGATGACACTTGTGGGATGGACAGGATCCAGCCAGGTAAAGATTTGGGGCAGAAACTATCAGGAAAATGCAAAGGTTCCTGGGGCACAAATGGGCTTGGGATGTTCAAGGACCAAAGGAGGGCAGTGTGACTAGAGATCTGTGCCTGAGGAGCACAGAGCTGTGAGAGGTCAGGGAGGCCTGAGGCAGTGTTGGGAGTGCAGAGAGTCCAGGGCTTGCCCTTCCTGGGACCGCTGCTCTGTACAGAGCAGGTGATATGAGAAGTGGGTCTTCAGGGATAAAGGCTGCACTTGGCTTGAGTGAGTTTATAATGAGGGAGGGGTCATGGGAGGCTCAGGTTGGAGGCAGAGGAAGATACTAATAAAGATAACTAATATTTAGTTATCCCTAGTCATGTTCTTCTCACAGTCCCATTTAAGCTTTATAATCCCTATGCAAAGTGGGTGCTCTTATTATCCTAAATGGAGGGTCAGTGATCAGCAGTCACTTTCCGGGCTTGCTGACTTTGAGGTCCCCTTAGGAGGCATCTAAGTGGACATGTGTAAATAAACCATTGAGATTACACCTTGCTCATATTTGGCACTCAGTAAATAAGTGCTGCGTGTAATAGGGGTGAGATATAAAATTCAAAGTAGCTCCTCCATGGTGCTGAACTTGAGCTGCTAGAGGAGTGCCTATGTTACAGCTTGCTTGGCACTGAAATGAGGTTGCTGAAATGTGAATTCAAATCCACTCTAATTTCCAATAAGGACTTTTTGTGTTCATGCGGTGGTCATATGTTTCTCTTTTTGGGTGATGAGTCTCAGCAGGACCTTTCCCATCTTTATTTTGCAGAGCCCAGCTCCCACTGAAGGCATAGGACCCAGACCCTAAGAACCAGATACACTGGCCTAAGCTTTCGTCAGAAGCAGGGACACACAGAACCTGTCTTAAAGCCATCATTAGAGGACTGGACATGATGGCCAGAGGCCTCATGGACAGAAGTCCCAGGGCCATGTCCAGGAACTGGGCTCAGGGGATCTCCTGGTGCCACCTGCAAATCTGAGCCCATGGAGTTCCTTTGGTTTATTCAATTCTTTCATTTTAACTTAATTTTGTTTTTGTTGGCTTTCTTAAAAAATTGCCCTGTTTGTTAACGTGATCACATTTATTATGCAGAGTTGAGTGTGGTTCTCTCATAAGTATTTAGTCTCCACTGGGTCTGTGGTTATATATCCTTTCTTATTGCTAATGCTGTTTGTGTTTGATTTTCTTCTTTATTTCTTGGCCTGACTTACAGAGGTTTGTCTGTTTTATCTTTATTTTAAAAATAACCAACTGCTTATTTTTACTTCTCCACTGTGATTTCCCCCTTTATTTCTTTAATGTTTAAGTTTATATTTTTTCCTATTTATTTTGGCTTAAATTTTATTATTATTTTGCTATATCCTTGGGTCAAGTGCTTAATTCAATTATTTTGTTATTTTGACTTCTAAAAAATCAGTTAATTCTATAAGTTTTCCTCCATGTACCACATTGAGCAAACTCCACAGGTTTCTGTAGGGGGTATACGAATTGTAATTCAATTTCAATTTTGTTTTCCATGTGTAGGTCCAGATTTATTTGAATGTCCAAATGCTTAGAGTTGTTGGCTCTTATTTTGTTATTAAAGTCTGGTTTTATTATACTGTGGTTAGAGAAAATAATATGAAGGATTTTAATTTTAGGTAAAGCATTAATATCTTTTTTAGCCTCAAACATGATCAATTTTTGACAGTGTTCCAAAGATATACAATTAAATATATATTATCTGTTGGAATAGAGTAATATATACACACACACTGCCATGTGCATATGTTTATATATCATATTTAGTTAGCGGTAGTTGTATTAGCCAAATCCTGGAGTCATCTCGATGCAAGTTTGTTGAGGCAGAATTGTCCATTTCATCCTCAGCTCAGCTTCAACTACTTAACAGAAACTGATTCATATAGGAATTAAGTAAATATTTGTTGAACGAAATTCAGTGTCCCCAACCCTTTTGGCACCAGGGACTGGTTCTGTGGAAGACAGTTTTTCCATGGATGATGGTAGGGGATGGTTTCAGGATGATTCAAGTGCATTACATTTATTGTGCACTCTATTTCTATTATCATTACACGGTAATATAATGAAATGATGGTAAAACTCACAATAATGTAGAATCAGTGGGATCTCTGAGCTTGTTTCCCTACAACTAGATGGTCCCGTCTGGGGGTGATGGGAGACAGTGACAGATCACCAGGCATTACGTTCTCATCAGGAGTGTGCAACCTAATATAGATTCCTCACATGCACAGATCACAGTAGGGTTCGTGCTTCTAGGAGACTTTAATGCCACCACTGATCTGACAGGTAGTGGAGCTCAGGTGGTAATGTAAGCCAGGAGGAGTGGCTGTAAATACACATGACACTTCGCTCACTCACCTGCCACTCACCTCCTTCTGTGCGGTCTGGTTCCTAACGGGCCATGTACTGGTACCGGTTCATGTAGTTTGGCTAATTTTTTCTGCATTTAAAATATATTTTATTGAGATATTCCTGGAACTTTTGGGTGCGTCGATTTGTGATGTTATGCAGTGGTGCTCATTTTAGGAATGCTTATTAAACGCTTTTGGTATGCTGCGCACTGTGCTAAGCACTAGAAATACAACGGCAGGTGAGAGAATCTAGCGGCCTCCTGTACTTCATGATTCATACATTATCGCTACAAAACAAGCAATAAACAAGCAGATAAGTAAGTATTAATTTAAAAGAATCCTGGTTGGTGCTATGAAGGTTGGTGAAATGAGCAGCCTTTTCAAGGTATGGAGGGGATGAACTGTTTGTGGAATGGTCAGGAAGGTCACCCTGGCGAGGGCACACTGAAGCTGAGGCCAGAGGACTGGTGGCCAGCCCCGTGAAAAGCTGGGACAGGATTCTGGGCAAACAGACCATGCCTTTTGTTAACGTGGCATCCCCTTCTCTCATTGAATGTGTCACTTTGAGTTCTACATTGGAAATACTGCTTCTGTCTTCTTTTTGTTAGTGCTTACATGATCCATATTTATCTACACAATTATACAATCCATAAAATTAGGTATTATGATGGTTAATTTTATATGTCAGTGTGGTGTGCCTAAGGGATGCCCAGATGGCTGGCAGTGCGTTATATCCAGTGTGTCTGTGCAGATGTTTTGGAAGAGGCTGGCATTAGAATCGTGGACTGAAAAAGAAGACCCATCCTCACCAGCGCAGGCAGGCATGGTTCAATCCATTGAGGGCCTGAATAGAACAAAAAGGTGGAGGAAAAGCAGATCTACCCACTCCTGCTTGAGTGGAGACATCCATCCTCTCCTGCCCTTGAACACTGGTGCTCCTGGTTCTCAGGTTTCCCTATCCAAACCGGGACTTAGGCCATCAGCCACCGCCTTCCCCACCTCTCAGGCCTTAGGACTCAGGTTGCATGTCACCACTGGCTTCCCTGCTTCGCAGCTTACAGATGGCAGATCGCAGGACTTCTCAGCCTCCACAACTACGTGAACCACTTCCCTGAATAAGTCTCTTCTTCATACAGTCCTCCCTTGGTGTGTGTGGGGATTGGTTCCAGGATCCCCGTGTATATCAAACTCCATGCATACTCAAGTCCTGCTGTAAGCCCTGCAGAACCCGTGTGTAAGGAAAAGGCGGGCCTTTGCATAAGCAGCCTTCGCTTGCTGGGAATACTGTGTTTTCCATTCGAGTTTGGTTGGAAAATCTGAGTATAAGTGGATCCATGCATTCAAACCTGTGTTGCTCAAGGGACAAGTGTGGAGGATAGGCGCAGGCTACTGGAGACAAATATGGGAATGTGGCTATGGGCAAGACAGTGCTGGTGGGGCAGGCACCACTCCAACAAGTGGACAACAGCAGGGATCAGTGAGTTGCCAGGGGTCTGAGCATGAATGCTGAACAGGTTGGAGGTCTTCCTTGGAGGTGGCCTCAGGCTGGGAGAGGAGTGTGGGGCCTGAGCGGCTCCAGGCTGGATGGGTCCAGTCAGGAACCCTGCAAGAGGAGCTCATCTGTGCACATGGGGATGCACACTGGGAGAGGAGAAGCCGGGGTCAGGGGCTCTGGCCCTCTTGCACTGCATGCGGGGACCTGCGACTCAGGCAGGCTGCTGGGCAATGGTCAGTGCCAACAGAGTGGGTGTATCACAGCCACGAAGCTGTGGTCATGCAGAGCACAGCATGACAGCCTCTGGTTGAGTTGTCTGTCTGGGGTTGGGGATGGAATTGATGGGCACAGGGAAGAGAGGAGGATGAGCTTGCTTAGCGGAAAAGACACCGAGTTGAGTTGGGGGCATGTGGAATTTGAGGTGGCTGTGGGAGCCCCGTTTGAGATGTCCAGTGGACAAGTGGGGGCACCCAGTTAAACACTGGAAATGGGGCTCTGGACCCATGAAGAGAAGCCAGCAGTTGAGTCATTTCATGAGAGGTGGCTATGGTGATGATGGGAACTGGTAAGATTGCTCAGGTTAAAACAAAGAAAACAAGCCGAGGAAAAACCATGGTCAAGGCAAGTACAGTAAGGATCGACGGCATCCTTGAAGTACTTCTTTGTCTACAAAGAGCATTCATTCTATTTCATGTGCAATGAGAATACCAGCATTTTAGCACTGTTTAAAATTAATGACTCAGAGGGAATTCTGGCCCCACACAAGAGCCTGCTAGATTGGCAAGCCTCGCTGCCTGCCCTTCTGAATTGCTTGTCACACAATTGGGCCATTCACTGTGTTCCGGGCCCTCTGTGTGTTTCCTCTTTTCCACCTTAGACCTATTTGTTAGGGCAAACAATCTACTTCTCAGGGTTTCAGTTTTATATCCTCTTGATCTATTACTTTATTTCTCTAATCTCTTTCCCACAGTCAATAGTTTTTACTACCTGGAACTGAAAACAACCTATAGGATACCAAAGCATGAGTTTATTGAGAACAAAGAAGACCCTCTGATTCCAGTGAGGTCAGGGAGGAGGCCAAACAGTACCCACTTGCTTAGGACATGCGGCCCAAACAGCAATTTGACTTTGCATTCACTTTTCAACTAGTTGCGTTGGCCTTATGGTTTTTATTAAACTGTAAATCTCTTTACCACATTGAAAATTGTGGAACACATTTCTTCTTCTTCAGTCCGTGCATCTGAAGGCCATAGGTGGACAAGTGCACAGCGCCAGTGGGAAATGGCTTTTCTGGAATATCGGGTTCGGTCCTCAGAGACTAAGAGCACTCCATGTGGTGGGCAATAAATCTGAATTCTGCTGCGTTTAATTAAGGTAATTTTCCTACTTAGCTCCACATGTGGAGATGAGATTCAATTTTATTGTGCCTAAAAGAACACGTCCTTTCAAATGTGTCACCAGAATGGAATGCGACCACAGATCGGCATGTGATGAGCCTCTGTCATCTAGAGGGAGAAGCACTGTGGCAGGACTGCAATCTGTCCCCTTATCCTGCTCCTGTGGGTTTTCCCATTGCGTGGATATGGGTTATGAGGGAATGGAGTCCCTCCACAGAGATATCAGATGCAGGCAGAGGGCAGAGCAGGGTGAAAAGCTGAGCCAGAGGAGGGGACAGATGGTTAGATAATGTTTTCTTGCTAGGTACAGTGTCAGTGAATAAAGATTTTGATCATCAGAAAGACCAAGGATCCATATTCCTGACTCTTTTGCAGAATAATTAATAAATGTTATGGGAATCACCTAGTATCATCCGTACTGGGAGGGTTGATTTTATGTGTCGACCAGACCAGTTTAAGGATGCAGACAACTGGTCAGACATTATTTCTGGGTGTGCCCATGAGGGTGTTTCCAGAAGAGGTGAGCGTTTGAATCAGCGGACTGGGTAAGAAGGCTCGCCCTCACCCATGTGTTTGGGCACCATGCAATCTGTTGAGGACCCAGATAGAACTGAAAGGCAGAAGGGAAAATTCTCTCTTTCTCTCCTTGGGCTGGGTTGCCTCTTTTCTCCTGCCTGCGGATGCCAGCACTCCTGGTTCTCAGACCTGCAGACTCAGACTTGAACCTACACTGTTGGCTTTCTTGATTCTCAGGCCTTCAGGTTTGGGCTGCATCACACCACTGGCTTTCCTGGGCTCCAGGGTGCCGAGGGCAGATCGTGGGATCTCTCAGCATCCACAATCCCATGAGCCAATTCCCATAATCAATCTCGTTTTATCTGTATCTATATATAGATATCTCTTTCTCTATCTTATTATTCTGTTTCTCTGGAGAATGCTAATACAGAGTTCTTGAAAAGACTCTGAAAACAGCCACATCACCACCAAGGGATCACGGAGCCTCCTGGGTCACAAGAGGCCTAAGAGGCATGGCGGACGTGCCTGAGTTTCCTCCACAGGGTTCTTGTTAGGAGGTGGCCCAACCCGTGCTTGGCCACATTCAGAAAAAGGAAATGCATCCTCCCAAAGGAAGGCCCACTCCACTGCTGGAGAATTTAGGCTGCTGAAAGCTTCTTGCTTATATGATTTTGCCCAATTCCTTTTCTGAGTCTTTCCCTTTTGTTCTAGTCCCTTCTCTTAGAGGAACATGGAACAATAACAATGATCTTACTGAGGCCAATTCTCTAGTAGGCTCCAGGCAGCCAAAGTGATAAAGGATGTGTATCTTCATCCTTCACAAGGTGATAGCTGAGAGGAGCGTGGGAGAAAATCACAAGCTCCCCAAGGTTAGGGTCACATCTATTCATCTGTATTTTAGTGATTAGTAGAGCACCTGGCAAAAAGTAGCTCTTCAGATAG